TGGTGAGAGAAAATAAGGATAAATTTGCTCACTTAAAAAAATTCCCTAGAATATATGGATCAAATTTTTGAAAATATGGAATGTGGCCTGTTTATATTAATATATAAGAAGTTTATTACTAATATATAATGATATATCATTAACAAATATAATAAACCGACTAAAAGGAAAAATATAATAAATGTTAGGTTGTTCGCTTAGTTTGATCCTATAATATAGGTTATATCTATAAAAACCCCAAGTAATTATTAAAGGATATATATTTAATAAAGGTAAAGTTAGAAACTTATTAAATTTTTATATATAATTAATGATTTTTAAAGTTTTTCTTTATTTCATGAAACATGTTAAAGGTAACTTATAAATAAAACTAGAAGAGTATGTGGTATCCTAGTAATCAAAATATGTTTAAAGGACCTATATATGAGAGGCATGGAATGAAACTGGAAGCTAGATACACAAGATAGTGTTACCAGTTCCATAAGCTAAACAGACAGTAAGATGTTTCATGACTAGATCAGAATATGCAAGGAGTACTAGCCACTTGGAAGATTATTACAAGTACGAAAGATCACGGGAAGTTGATTTTCCTTGCATCAACAAAGATTTTCTTTCTGCATGACTTGTTTCATCAATGCACAAATACAGTTTTCGGCCAAGAAAAAAGTCACAAATACAGTGCAAAATTTTTCTTGTTGAATGGAGCCAATAATTGAAGCACTCGAGCAAGAACTGATCTTCACCATTAGGCAGAAATTGCAAAACCACAGGCGTGTGGAATAGAAATTACGGCAGTAGAAATCTAATTGATCTCATGATACAAAGGCAATTCGTATACCAGCATTGATAGTCTATAGTAGCTGGATATTAGAAAATTTTTCACCCAACAAAAAAAAAAAAACAGAGAAAGAAACTCGAATTTTTTATTCCTATTTGCACAATTTAGACAGTATAAGATAAGGCATGTATTACTAAGTAGCACGCACAAATTCAAATGTATGAAATATGGGACACCAACTGTTAGCTTGGTTTTGGGGAAGGGGTTGGCTTAGAGGTGTGCCAGGCATGTCAAAGCAACTTGTCCTCAAAAGTGAGTCAGATTAGATGATTAAGCGGCTTCTCAAGGTCGTTTACCACAATTTTCTTAGAGAATCAAGTAAATGCGAAAAGTTATGAGTGCGTCAAGAGATGTGTAAGACTTCATTGTATTACTGAATCGTTAATACAATGGGTGCTCCATAAAGATAAAGAGAAAAAGAGAAATGCAAACTAGCTTAGGAAGCCAAGCTTGCATAATGAAGCAATTCATACTAGGCGAAGTTGGCTAATGCAGGGTTGAAGTTGGTATTTTGCATTAGGCAAGTCTAAGCAAGTTTGGCAAAGTATTGAAAGTTATTATGTCATGTGCTTGTCGCATATTTGTAGAAAAATGACAACAACACATTTCTTTTGAATTTGAGATTGGCACCATAAGGGGCAAGTAACTATCCATGCTAGGATTGCAAGTTGCTTGGTGGCCAGGTCAGCCCGATCCTGCCCGAGCTGGTCAGGTTGGGCATTGAGCTAAGTATTGGGTAGGAGTCAATCCTAACCCAGCCCTACCAGGCCCAAAAATATTTATTTCTTTTTATTTTTTAAAATTTTTAAAAACTTAATTATTTTATAATATTTTTATATGTTTATTATAGATATTTTTCGTGATTTCAATTTTTCTAATCTTTTTAAATATTTGTAATTGATTTTTTTTACTCTGCACCGTGTAAAAATAATAAATAATTGTTAATTATATACAATTTAAAAAATTATTAATTTAAATTATAACATTAGCTTTATAAAAATGTCCATTTTAAATAATTACAGTTATAATTTTTGTTACTTAATAAAATTATTTTTATATTTTAAAATAATTTTCGGACATTAAGTCAAAACCCAACCTAAACCCTCGAGAGGCTCAATGCCCAAATATGCACATCAGGCTAGACCCGACCCAACATAGCCCATGTACACCATTAGTCTGCATCATTAAATGATTGAAGGTGCACCTCATCGTGCAAAGTGGGGAGAGCGAGTGTGTTGAGAACTTTAAGCAATGGGGAGAGTCGGCGAGACTCCGCCATTGACTTCCTAAACATGGCATTCCACTTATACTTAATCATGGGGCCACTTCACTGCTAAGTCTCTCCCCAGACTAAATTGATCTTCGGCTAATTACCTTTTAGGCCCAGCACGCTATTTTTGGTCGAAACACCAACTTTGTTTTCTCTCACATTTTTCATCCGAAGCCTCATTTTCCTTCGCATCTTGGTAGGAAATGAAATATTGTAAAGAACATGCGGGTCCCAGAATTATTCTTGCTTCCCTTTTTGACATCTCCAAATTTCTAGAAGTACAATCTAAAATCGAAACGTTGGAGAGCACCAATCCCTCCTCCATTTCTTCTCCATTTTCCTTGTGAGAATTTAAAAAATAAAAAAGAAAGATCCCAGACACAGCCAACCTCGGATCAGGCCCGACCGTGTTCTTACTAAATTAAGCCCATATTAGGGGTTAATGTTTCAAAACATGGTAAAACTGGGCCACCCCTAATTCTAACTGATCAATAATCCGTCAATAAAGCTATATCGGATCAACAAGTTGAACCGATTCAACAAGGAACTGGTACCTTTAGGTCCAAAATAATTACACAATCAGAGAAACATGAACCGGCAAAACACCGACTAACTATCCGATCAAAATCCGGTAAACCAGACCAAATATAACTAAACCAATTCGCATCAAAAAATTAAACTAAAGCCTAAAAATATACGCATATAGAAATTAATACTTTGTTTGGTTTGTAAGGAGGGAAAAGGAGCAACCTTGTCTGGTTAGGAAAGGGAGGGAAGGAAAAATAATTATATATGAATAAATATATTCTTATATTATTAAAAATTATTTTTCCTTGCTTTTTATAAATATTTAATAAGATATACCTGTGAATTTTAAAAAAAATAATGATAAAAAATGCATTCGTCTTTCAACAATAAGCTGTAGCATTGAATATATATATATATATATATATAATATGAAATGGGGCCAATTAGGCAATTAGAACTTGTAATATGCAATATTAAAATTTTTTATAATTTTAATATTTATTTATTATTACAATATTAAAAATAGAGATAACCTTTTAGCATGCACTTTTTTTAAAAAATATTATAAGTTAAAAATTTTAAATCTACATTATTCATATTATATCTAGATAGTCAATTAATAAAAATTATAAAATTTTTAATATTAAATTTGGACTGTCCAAATTGATAATCATATTTTTCCAATTTTTTTATAATTTTTTTACTTTGAAAAATAAAAATTCTTCCTCAAGGTGCAAAGAAGGAAAAGAGGAGGTGCAAAAGAATGTTACATCTTAACTCAATTTCAAAGATTAAGTTTATGAATCTTTCTCTTTTATTTTATATTAGTCATTAAATTTAATTTTATATGATGTGGAACTTCCCACATTAATGTAAGTCTAATCATACTTGAACAACCTAACAATCTTTCTTTCAAATGTGAGTTTACAAGCTTCCTATATTAAAGATGTCCAAACATCAAGTCCCAATTAAGATCAACCTAATTTTCAGGCCTTAGTGTGGCATGCACACAAGTCCTTACTATCCGGGCAAAAAAACTATAATACCAATTATGAATAATAGAGAGCAATCCCTCGAGAACGAGTGAAGAGGAGAATCGATCAAGATTAAAAAAAAAACACAATGAATGAAGCCATTTTTATTTTATTTGGAGAGGAGCATTTTAGAATTATGAAAATATATTATGAGTAAATTAATCATAACATAATAAAATTATACCATTTTCTTTAGTAGGACTACATAAAGAACTGAATGACACTGGACTTCAGTCTAACTTGAAGTCTAGTCTTTTTTATGCAAAGGATTGAGTTAGGCAACTTGTAGTCCGATCTTATTCAGTGATAACCCAAAAATTAATAAGACAAAACTTGATCCATAGGACTGGGAGATTGGTCCTGTTAATCCAGTACTCACTTAGCCTTTTTCTTTTCTTTTTTCCTCTATGAGAGGCAATAATATATTTCTACTTAATAAACTCAATTAAGATAATAAAAACACTTATAATAATAATAAATCTATAATAATTTTCAACAACAAAAAAAAAATATTTATATCATAGTTCAAATGATTAAAATTTATATCTTCAACAAAAACAACACTCAACAAACTTCAACAACAATGCATTACAAAAATAATTTATAAACTCAACAAATCTTCATACAATCATCTCCTTAGCATCAATTATACTTGAATCATTTGTTAAAAATAAATTAATTATAATCATATTAAATAAATTAATAAGACCAAATTGGACCAAGTGGTCTAAATGTCCAGTCTCCTATCCAGTTCAGTTCAACCCAAAAGAATGGTCTAATCTTTTCAATCTTTTCGGTCCTTCAAAACCAATATTTATACAGATCAAATAAAATTAAACCATTTCAAGTTAAATTGGGTCAAATAAAATCAAAAAATTTTTACACAACCCTACCCTTTAAGGCCCATGACCGCCCATTTTAGAAGAGAGAAAAGTGGAGGGAAAAGCAAAGGAGGAGAGCAAAAACCTCAAAACCATGGTTTAAAAGTTACCAGGAGGCCGGTAACTGTTACGTGCTGCCAGCCAAGCTCACAAATCAAACGGGCCAGCACCCATCTTTTTATTGACAGACAAGGACGCCGTATCCAGTATTTCGGTCGATGTGGGGCTCGGAGACATGGCCAGCCTCTACAACACGAAAGTCTGATTCCCCCCCCCCCACCCCCCCCGACATAACACAACCAACCCCCCCCCCAAAAAAAAAAAAAAAACCAGACTTGGAGACATTTTTGTGTGATAATTTCTTAGAGTTACTTCTTTATGCATGTTCTTCCCAAAATTTATTTAATAAGGAACTTGAGCCACGCAAACTACTAATGAAGAGAGATAAATGGGGAAAATTCTATGATTCTACGAAACTGGCATAACTAAAATAATCATCAACATTCGAGTATAAACATCAGTTAATATATCCACACAGATTGAAATGTTGCAAACGGATGAGACTAAACTTCGTAGTTTCTATTCAAGTCTGGTTTGCTGTATTTCCTGATATTCATGCAAAAATCAATATTCACAAAGGGGGACATGCAAAAGTTGAAACGACGGAAATCCCCACCAGTTTGTGATAAAAATCCTACTGACCAGCTGATGGTTTTGTCAACAACTCCAGTGATTTTCTCAGGTAGTCTACCGCAACCGAGACGTCATCGAATGCTAGTGCCCCAACAGCAAATCTGGCAGCCTTGTGTGCCTCTGCAACTTTCTCGGGAGGTGGCTGGTAGTTACTATCATACTGGTATGTCTGAGAAGTTGAAGTTGGTTCCAGTACAGTTCCACTCCGGCTGCTGGAATCGTGTAAGGCACCTGAAGAATAGTTTGTAGTTCGAGGAGCTGACTCAGAAGAATATGACCCGCCAGAACCTTGGTAGTAACTAAGGTTTGAAGGGACCGATGGTAGACTACTTTCCGTAAAACTGGGATATGACTGAAAATGGGGATAAGAGTAAGATACGGGAGTTTCATGAGAAGGATAATTAGGAGATAAATGCTGTGGGTGGTCTTGTGAGTACTGCTGATTAGTGTAGAGCGGAGAATAAGGACTCTCTGATCTAGCCGGAGGCGGAGGGTGGTAATCTTGGGAAGGTGGAGGAGGATGGTAATCTTGAGAATGAGGAGGAGGAGGAGGAGGATAATCTTGGGAAGGGTAACTTGAATGGTAGGATGGTGGAGAAATGTTAAATGAATGTTGACTATTTTCTCTGTCTTGGAACTGCATAGAAGGTGGAATGTTTGAAGAATGCTGATCGTTAATATTATCATGGAATTTAGGTGCTGGAGGAACGCTCGGCATTCCAGCATAGTTGACAGGATCATCATAATCATGCGATGCATCAGAACGTAGCCCAGGAGTGGTCAATGCATTTGCAGTAGTCCCAAGGTCCTGCAAGCAGTTGAATGTTACTTGTGTGTGTATATGTAGTTTTCTTTCTAATGCCTATAAAAATTAAATGTTAGTAAAGAATATTATTATATTCATCAATCCATCCAAGCAAAAAAGAAAAATCTTAAGATCTGAAAGTCCAGCCAGCATATCAGGATTTCATGAATATATTTTTTCAAGCTGTTACAAATAAAAATTCATAAGGAAGAGTGCCATTTGAATCAGAGATCAGCTTTGAACAGCACAAATTTTTCATTACCTTAATTCATACTTAGGGGCCCATTTGTTGAAGATTAAAAAGTAAGTAATTTTTAGTTTAGATATTTTATAAAAAGATATATTTTTTGTAGAGATTTTATAAAAATTTCAAATTATGTTATGTTTGGATACTGTGATAAAATGTGATTATCATATAGTGACTTAGATTTTACAATATCCTTTGGATCTTTGTGGATATTTGTTAAAAAGATGATTTATTATTTAGTTATTTTAAAATTTATGATATTTTTGTGTCTCTTCGTATTTTTATGACATTCTATACTATCTACCACATCAAATTCTTCGCAAAAGCCACATGAAGTAGCTTCTCAAAATAATAAAAAATATGCTTTTTTTTCCATATTTTGATTATTTTAAAAAGTTTAGCAAATATCATAAAATTTTTACAAAAATAGATTTTTTAAGAAAATGAGTAATTTTTTCATGAAAAAAGCTTAAACAAACGGGTCATTCATTTCACAACATACATCCAAATCTTGACTTTCCCTCCATATTGTACTTGAAAAGGACAGCTTTTATTATTGAACGATTTTGCATTCTGATGCAATATGCAATCTTCTGCATGCATTTTTATTTAAAAATGTGGCATCAGATGCTTAGAAGGATCTTGTCATTAAAGTTGTAATAGAAACCTGCCCCTAGCCTTACCACTAGAGACCAACATGAAAGGAGGCCAACAGGGGAAACAAAAGAACAAGTTGTACAAAAATAATGAAAAGGCAAACCTTTCATCATCAGCAGAACTTTTGTTTGTGTGCGTGTGTGTGTGTGTGTGTTATCCCCAGCAGATTTCTTCATAACTCTCACTGACACCATACTGCACATGAAATGGATATACCATTAAGGGGCTGTAATCTCTCTTATCCTGCCTTTGATGTTTCTACACCACCTTACATGATTCATTACACCTATGGGATTAACCTCTGAAATTTATCAACAATCCCTGTCATAATTATCTAACATCTCTCAATCAAAAAATTAAAACTTTTTCTTTTCAAATTGGGTTGTCGAGACTGTTTCTGATGGCACAGAACAACAAATGGTTATGAAAGAATAAAAAATACAGCTGCTATATATGCCAAAATGATTACAAGCAATATTTTATTGAAAACTTGGGACACAAAGTTGAGTTTAGAAACATACATTTTCACCACTAGGAATGCTTGATGGTATTGATAGATCCTCATCATCAGCAGGAGGACCAGCCATGGGCTTTCTTCCCTCTTTCAGAGCCTTCCTTATATCCGCTGCTTTCCAGACTGCATATTTCTGTTTCTGCTCAAGCTGTGGAGGAAACTCATTGAAGTGTAAGCCCAACAGTGATATCAATCCATACTACATTATTATTTATTGGCACCGAACAAGGCCCAATGGGCCCCGTGCCCTAATTCTCATTTAATATCTATTAGTTACCATGTTTAATATTAAACTCCGCCTATGTTTATAGCCGGTCCCAAGCCCGGGTAAGGGAGGAGGGTTGTGTTAGGCCATCAACAGCCAATATAAAACTTTGTTGAATCTATCATGAACATGGACAATAGACATTATAATGTTAATGCTAGGTCGTTGCCCGTAAGTAACGCGCTGCATGGCTCGAGTACAATGATAAGTGAGTTAGAGCCGCTGCTTCGGCTTCCGGATGTAGTGTTAAATGAGCAAGGGCTACCGCGTCATTCTAGACGCACGCGGCTAAAGAAATTAGTCCATGAGAGCAAAATTAGATTTGGTACTTGGAATGTTGGGACATTGAATTGTAAATTTATAAAGGTTGTAGGGATTATGATTCAAAGGAAAATCAATATCCTTTGCCTGCAAGAAACAAAATGGCGTGGAGAAGAAGCTAAGGATATTCAAAGTTTCGAACTTTGGTATACAGGAAAAGTAAGTGCACGCAATGGAATAAGCATCATTATAGATAAGGAGTGGAAGAAGAACGTTGTAGAAGTTAGCAGAATTGGAGACAAAATTATTTCCTTAAAAATGATAATTGGACGTGAGAATGTTAATATTGTTAGCACTTATGGGCCGCAAGTCGGGACAGAAGCCAGTCTTAAGGAATTATTTTGGTAGGATCTGGAGGGGTTGATTCGACAGATACCATAGAGTGAAAAGATTTTTATTGGAGGAGACTTTAATGGGCATGTCGGGAGGGAAGCTGGTCAGTATGCGAGGGTGCATGGTGGTTTTGGTTTTGAAGAGCTAAACAATGAAGGACAAACTCTTCTTGATTTCTTATTGTCTTATGATTTTAAGATTGCCAATACTTATTTCAAGAAGAGAGATGAGCATCTCATCACTTACAAAAGTAGAGCCTCAAGGTCACAGATTAATTTCTTTTGGTTAGGAACACAGATAGAAGACTTTGTAAAAATTGCAAGGTGATCCCCGGAGATGCTGTAACGACACAACATAGGGTCCTAGTCCTTGATGTGTGTATTATGAGTAAAATCAAAAAACGTCGACAAGTAGTAACACCAAGGATTAGGTTGTGGCAATTAAAAGGTGAGAAGCAAGATATTTTCAAGCGAAATCTTTTGGATAAAGGAATTTGGGAAGCTCAGGGAAGTGCTAACATCATGTGAGAGGATATGGCTAAAAAGATATGGGAGGTTGCAAAAGTAGTTTTGGGAGAATCAAAAGGTTCTGGTCCGAGAGATAAGGAGTCTTGATGGTGGAATAATAGTGTACAGGACAAAATCAAGTATAAGAAGAACTATTTTAAAGCCATACATTTGTGTAACAATGAGGAAAATTGGGAGAGGTGCTATATGGCTAAGAAGGAAACTAAGAGAGCTATGGGTGAAGCTCGTTCTAAAGCTTTTGAAGAATTTTATAAGAGCCTTAAGACGAAGGAAGGAGAGCGAAATATTTATAAGATTGCCAAGAGTAGGGAAAGAAAATCAAGAGATCTAGAACAAGTAAGGTGTATTAAGGATGAAGAGAGAAGAACTTTAGTTACAGATGATGAAATTAAAAATAGATGGGAGACTTACTTTTCTAAACTTTTCAATGATGATGAAGGTTCATCTAGTAATTTGGAGGATTTAGTAACTAGTGAAAGAGAACAAAATTTGTCATTCTATCGAATAATACGTGATAAGGAGGTAAAGGAAGCTCTTAAGAAAATGGCAAATGGTAGAGCCAATGGATCTGATTGTATATCTATCAAAGCGTGGAAATGTTTAGGTGAAGAAGGGGTGAGATGGTTAACTAAATTATTTAATATGATTTTACAGTCCAAGAAAATGCCTGATGAGTGGAGGAGAAGTGCATTAATTCCTATTTATAAAAATAAAGAAGATATTCAGAATTATACTAACTATAAAGGGATTAAACTCATGAGCCACACAATGAAATTGTGGGAGAAAGTAATTGAGCACAGGTTGAGATTTGAGACAAGTATTTCTGAGAATTAGTTTGGTTTTATGCCAGGTAGATCAACTATAGAGGCGATTTATCTACTAAGGGGATTAATGTAAAAGTATCGTTGTAAAGATAAAGATCTACACATGATTTTTATTGATTTGGAAAAAGCTTATGACCGTATACCAAGAGAAATGCTTTGGAAAGTGTTAGAAAAAAAGGAAGTACAGATTGCTTATATTAAAGCCATACAAGATATGTATGAGGGGGTAAAAACTAGTATAAGAACGCCTAGTGGTCAAACAAAGGATTTTCCTATAAAGATTGGACTACATCAAGGATCATCTCTGAGTCCTTATTTGTTCAACTTGATCTTAAATGTTTTGACGGAACATATTCAAGAGGAAATTTCGAAATGTATGCTCTTCACAGATGATATAGTTCTTATAACAAAGACAAGAGAAAAGGTTAATTGCAAACTTGAGTTATGGAGGAGGACATTGGAGTCGAAAGGTTTTCGTCTGAGTAGAAGTAAAGCGGAATATTTATATTGTAAATTTGGTAAAGGACTATTCGACAATAATTTGAAAGTGAAATTGGAAGATCAAATTATACCTCAAGTGGAAAAGTTTAGATATTTGGGAGCCATTATTCAAAATGATGGCGAAATCAGTAGAGATATTTCACATAGAATTCAAGCTGGGTGGTTTAATTGGAGAAAAGCTAAAGAAGTTATTTGCGACCGTAAGGTGCCTAATAAACTTAAAGGAAAGTTTTATCGCACTGCTATCAGACCGGCAATGTTATATAGTAGTGAATGCTGGGCTCTAACGGGACAGCAAGAGCATAAAGTTGGAGTAGCAGAGATGAGAATGTTACGATGGATGTGCGGACATACACGTAAAGATAAAATTCAAAATGAACACGTACGTGAAAAAGTGAGGGTGGCACCTATTGAGGAAAAAATGGTAGAAAATCGGTTGAGATGGTTTGGGCATGTACAAAGAAGACCAAGGAAGGCACCAGTGAGAAGAGTGGAACATATAACTTTGAGTCCGATTAAGAGAGGTAGAGGAAGGCCTAAGAGAACACTTTTGGAAGTTATTGAACGCGATCTGTTAATTAATAATATTCCTAAAAGCTTGATAAATGATAGAACACAATGGCGTCTTGCAATCCATGTAGCCGACCCCACCTAGTGGGATAAAGGCTTGTTGTTGTTGTTGTACCATGTTTAATATTACGATTATGAGTATTGTATCTGTCCCTGATTTTTTAGGAGATCTATTTTGCTTATTGTTTCTGTTTTTAGTATCTCAGCCAGATCCTAATTTGTTCTTGGTGGGTGTCGTCTCTATATATGTATTTCATATTATCATAATAAAGCCAAGCTTTTATCCAGCATCTATATCTCCTCATGGTATCAAAGCAGCTATGATCCAATTCAGATTTGGGCTGCACAACGAAGGCCAGGGTGGTGGCAATGAATCAAGGGGGAACAAAAATTCCCCATCTACTGTTGCAACCAACAAAAATTCCCAACAAGAGAAGAGGTTAATTGCAAACTTGAGTTATGGAGGAGGACATTGGAGTCGAAAGGTTTTCGTCTGAGTAGAAGTAAGACGGAATATTTATATTGTAAATTTAGTAAAGGACTATTCGAAAATAATTTGGAAGTGAAATTGGGAGATCAAATTATACCTCAAGTGGAAAAGTTTAGATATTTGGGAGCCATTATTCAAAATGATGGTGAAATCAGTGGAGATATTTCACATAGAATTCAAGCTGGGTGGTTTAATTGGAGAAAAGCTAAAGGAGTTATTTGTGACCGTAAGGTGCCTAATAAACTTAAAGGAAAGTTTTATCGTACTGCTATCAGACCGGCAATGTTATATAGTAGTGAATGCTGGGCTCTAACGGGACAGCAAGAGCATAAAGTTGGAGTAGCAGAGATGAGAATGTTACGATGGATGTGCGGACATACATGTAAAGATAAAATTCGAAATGAGCACATACGTGAAAAAGTGAGGGTGGCACCTATTGAGGAAAAAATGGTAGAAAATCGGTTGAGATGGTTTGGGCATGTACAAAGAAGACTAAGGGAGGGACCAGTGAGAAGAGTGGAACATATAACTTTGAGTCCGACTAAGAGAGGTAGAGGAAGGCCTAAGAGAACACTCTTGAAAGTTGTTGAACGTGATCTCTTAATTAATAATATTTCTAAAAGCTTAATAAATGATAGAGCACAATGGCGTCTTGCAATCCATGTAACCGACCCCACCTAGTGGGATAAAGGCTTGTTGTTGTTGTTGTTGTTGTACTGTTGCAACCAACCAAGCACCAAATGATGCTTCTGCAATCACCATTCATAGATTGAATGGTCAGAACTCTATTCAATGGGCTGCAGGCATGCGCTTGTATGCTACAAGCAAAGGGAAGTCTGGGCACCTTACTAGTGCAACTCCAAGACCTGTTATGACTAATAGCAAGTTTTCCACATGGGAGGCTGATGACTCAATTGTTTAGGCATGGCCAATGAATTCAATGACCCAAGAAATCAGTGCCAGTTTTGCTTTGCTTGGGTCAGCCAATGAAGTCTAGGAGGCTGCCAAGGACTTGTTTGCCTCTATTAAAAACAGAGATGCAATTCTGGAAATTGAAAGAGCTCTTCATGATTTGAGGAAAGGTACTTCATCCCTTACACAATATTATACTAACCTTGTTATGTACTGGCAGAAATTAGACACTTACATCCGTCATGAAAGATGCTGCTCGATATGTCAAGATTAAGGAGGAGCAGCAAATAAAATACTTTTTTATTGGGGCTGGGTGATGCCTTTGATGATGTCCGTGGGCAGATCATGACGGATCATGAGTCTTGAATCTCTATCATCATTAAGAGAGGTTTTCTTTACTGTAAA